TACCAAGAGCGATATAGTGGGCGATCACTTTAATATGTATCGTAATAAGTGATACATATTATTTGCGACGGTGAAATCACTAATTAAGAAGTACTCATTCCAGAGACTACTCTCATCTCTCCAGGTTGCGACAAGTGACGCACTACGGGCCTGTTTAGTTCCCAGCCTAAGGTTGCCACGCCTAACTTTAGTCATGCCACAACATCTTAGGCATGTGTTTGGTTCATTGCCACACTTATGGCTTGCCACACTTTTCTAGTTGTATGGCCCACATGTCATAGTGATGCGACCTGTTGTAATATAGACACTAAGGTCGTCGATGTTTCGCCAAAAGCCGATTGTGTCCAAAAGTACATATATGTCAAAGTGCCCGCTGTTAAGTTACGTAGATGAGCAACCGCTCATAAAAGATACATGCATGCACACTGAATCGTTGCAGACCATGTGCATTTGGAAAGATGAGAAGCATGTTCAGGTTGAGATGATACTTTCTTGTGCGTTAGACTTTCATGCATTAAAAGAAAAACAAGGAAAAGAATATTTCAACTATTTTGGTGAGCCACGTTTACAAGAAGGCATCAAGGAGTCCATGATGTATCTTGTGTGTTTGCTGACCAAGATCAGTTGCTACGTGAGGATCAAATATATATGTTATTTCGTATTCCTCTTCTTACCATGGAAAGAGCGTGTATGGAATGGATTGTTAATACGTGATCAGCTTACATTAAAAGAAGTCGTATGGGGCCCACCTGCGGATAGAGATGCACTTGATGATGTATGGCGCATCAGTCCATATTAGTGCACGTTATGTTGTTTAAATTGGCTTGTAAAAGATTGCATGCTTGCATGCAAGTCATCCGGACGGTAGAGTCCAAGTCAGTTTAAAGTTTATTTATTTTTTTGTGTTGCCGTGCAAGTCTAGGATAGAAATATATTTGGTTTCCAACTTTGTTAGGTGTCGGCTGATATATAAAGCCAAGGTGCGTCACATGTAAGAGGAGGTTATATTTTTATGATAGACACGATGTGTTTTTAGGGTAAATACATGTATCGAGTTTTGGGGGAAGCTGTCTAAAAATCCATAAGTTTTGGAGGAAGGTTTAGAAAATCTCTGTGTTGCGATTTCTCTTCATGGAAATTGTTTTGTGCGTGACTACCGTCGTCGAGACTGGTTTTCTCGTGCTGAGCCGTAAGGTTCAAACCCTCTACTTCGTGTATATCGCGTGCGCGGGCGAGAGGTTGCTACTACTGAAGGTGGAGGGTCGTGAAAGATCGGGCTGCAACAATAGATCGGATCTCACAACGAGGTTCGGTCTACATCACATAGGCTCAATTTTTTTGCCAAATCTTGCCACACTTGTGGTGGCCATTTTGTTAGTCACACTTTTTCTGACAGCCATACTTTGCCTAGGTTAGTTGTGGCAAAGTTACGCATGAACCAAACAGGCCCTACATGTGCGTCACTTGTCGCAACCTAGGAGTTTTCCCTTTTTTCATCGATCTGTTTACTCAAAATATTTTATCTCTAAAACCGTGCGTCCAAATCTCGAACCGTTTTCACTGTTGGATTTCTCGTGTCGAGATCTTCAAAATCAGGTCCCATATTGATAGGTTTTGACTTTTTTTTAAACGACGAAAAAACCGAACCGGGAGCACGTGTTTTTCCTTTTCGGAAGCCTTTTCTGAGAGGCACGACCGCGTCTCTCGCAGAAGCAAAACCGTGCCTCTCGCGGAAGAAAAAAAAAAGAGAAAATGCGGGTTTTTTTCATTTTCGATAGGCATGGCCGTGCCTCTTGCGGAAGTAAAACCGTGCCTCTTATGGAAGGAGAAAAATATTTTTTTTTCATTTCCGAGAGGTATGGCCGCCTCTCACGAAAGCAAAAACCATGCCTCTTGCGGAAGGAAAAAAAATTAGAGAAAACATGTTTTCTTTCCATTTCCGAAAGGCACGGCTAGAGGAAGTAAAACAATGCCTCTCGGGGAAGCAGAACCGTACCTCTCTTACGGAAGCAAAATCGTGCCTCTCCTGCAAAAAAAAACGTGTTTTTTTTCATTTTTAAGAGGCACGGCCATGCCTTTCGCGGAAGCAAAATCGTGTATCTTACGGAAGCAAAATCGTGTCTTTTATAGAAGCAAAAAATAACTGTGTTTTTTCACGCAAAAAAATTGAATTGTTTTCTGTCGAAAAGCTAGAAATGACCGGTGAAAAACTGAATAGTCGAGAAAAAGGAAAAAAGCATCTAAAAACCCAAAAACGCGTGCGGAATAATAAAACAAACAAAATTCTAAGGAAGCACCCAGAGCGCGACATGTGGCGACAGCTGAGAGTGCGTCCTAAGTGGTCGTTGGGAGGCTCCTGAAGGAGCGCTTGACAACTAGTTGCTCTATTGTGACTGTGTGATTGCTAATGGTTAGGTACGCCCGTGGGCTGGGTTTGCCACATGGCATGTCGGCATTTTTTTTAATTGTTTTCTCATCATATGAGAGGCGCCAGGTCCGTCAGTGGTATTTTTGGCTCCACGGACCGAAGATAACTAACAGAAATCACATATGTGCTTGGTGGAAGAGTTTAGACGTACCCCTCAAAAGAAAAAGGAAGAGTATAGACGTCCATTATTATAAGATGATTCTATTGCATACATTCCCATTTGCATGGTGCCTAACTAAAGCTCTCTGAGGACGTTAGTATAGAACTGATGTTCCATATCAGGGTACCCGGTGCACGAAGTGTTCCCTAATATATTTTTGGTACCATGAGTTGAGAAAAGAAATAAAGAGAAAATAGAGTCACGGTACGGGCCATTGGCTAAAAATGTTTGTTGCGTTCGTGATATTTTGGTGTGATCGATCCATGAGCGAAACCGAACAGATAGGGCAATATTAGGGCTTGTCAATGGAGATGGTCAGGAAAGTCTGTAATCCGGCGTAGTGAGGGGGTGGCGCTACAACTCGCCAAAACGAACTCGCATCGCCTGATTTGGTTTTGAGTAGGAAATAGGACAACTGCAACCCTAGTTAATCCTTGGCACAAAACCTCCGCGAGGGCCGTCCCCTACAGTCCTACTGTACTCACGGCCGGGAAGCAGGAGCGAAATCTCCGCGTTGCGCGGCCTATCCCTTGCACCGCCGGGGTGGCAGTGTCGCAGAGCGCATGTGCGTCTCCTCCGCGCGGCTGTAGTCTGCGAGAAGGAGCCACTTCTACATGCCGCCCTCGCTCTGCTCAGGGCCCGCCGCGGAGACGCGCACCTGCCTTCTCTTTCCCGCGCCCACACGCGGCTAAAGCCCGACACCGCGTCACCGTCTAGCCATGTTCGTCCGGAGATGCTCAGCTCGCTGGATGCCAAACCAGTGATGGACGAGCGACTTTTGGTGCCCCTGTCAATGGCATCATCGCAATGGCGTGGTGTGTTGTGTGCAGCTGTGCAGCAGGATTCGCACGGAAGGAGCGCAAAGAAGACGCGCCTGCCTGCTGCGAGGGGACAGATACCCAGTTCTCTCAGCTCATCGAGCGCACGGGGTTACTTTCTTCTGAGTAGTGGGAGTCATGGCTAGCTAGTATAGCTAGCTAAATGCTTGGAATTAGCGTCTTAAGCCAACGGGCGAGTAATGACCAAAGGGCGAGTAATGACCAAAGGGCGATGCCCAGTTCTCTCGGCTCATCGAGCGTACGAGGTTGCTTTCTTATGAGACGTGGGCATCATGCCTTGCTAGCTAAATGCTTGGAATTAGCGTTGTACTATAAGCCAAAGGGCGGGTAATGACCTGTCAGCACACGTAGACTGTGTATGTGCGGGTGTTGACGCGGTCGTCGCCACGAGCAGTTGTGCTGTGTTAGTGGCCGTAGTGGGCTTAATGGTAGAGGTATCAAAAAATGCTACACTTACGGAGCTGCGGACCGGCCCGTGATTAGTCCTGGCGCCTCCACCTCAGCCCCGTAAGCGTTTTCCGTAGAAAATTCCCGTAAGTGTAGCATTGCTCGTAGAGGTAGTGGCACAGGTTCTCGCCACGGCTGTGGTTCTGCAAGTGTATATATACCCAGCCTCTGAGCTAATACAAGTGTGTTGAATCCCAAATCTCATTTACATGACCGATTGGCCTTTTCTTGTCACATTTTTTTAAATATTACTTAAAAAGTTTAAGTATTACATCCGGCTTTTGCATAACTAAAATGCACATAGCCAACCCAAGTACAAATTCAAAAAGTATAGCACATCTGACTGGATCAAAGCTCTATACATAGACTCCACCGAGAATTTACCACTCGTGTGTAGGTTTCAACGAAATTTATCGGCTCCTTGTGACAGTTGCACCAAGAACAGACGTTGGACCAAATTGTTCCACGATTCAAGTCTGGGACCAATTAAATCTCTTCTGAACGTCACATTAGACGGAAAGGATTTCAAAACCGTGACAATAGTATCACCCTTATGACACACAATATTGTATCGAGTAGGATATTGTTCCTGGAGAGCCTAGTCACTTACTTATCCCCTAATCTAATTCTTAGTAACTATTAGACCAGCCCAAAAGTGTGAGCCCTGAGACTTTCAGTATACTTGGGACACTGACATGTAATCCCTCTGAACATTGAACATACAGTTGCACTGCACATACGATAACTATCAGTCATCGGTGGTTCCATGCCTTGATCTGCATGAGACAGTGTGCAGAGCGGTGAAGCACGGCCGGGGCCGGTGGCTGTGGTGATTCTGCAGCGGAATCAAAGTACCTTCACGCACGCAGTGCGCGTCTGGTTTTCCTTCTTTTTCCACAGCGTTTACGCGGTAGCAATGAGCGAGGAACAGGAGGGCGCCTTTGGCGTTGCTGGCCCACCCCATTGACCGGCGAGTCGTCGCACCGACGCACTGTACAATTTTACTTGAATCAAAGGCCTTTATGTTCCGAGGAATCTACTTTACCCATTGTCATCCGGTGAAGTCATTTACACAAGTGAGATAGGTTTTCTTCTTTGAGCTTGAGCGGAGGTGCTAAAGGGGTCAATGGCCAACGGCGGAGGCGGAGGTGGCGGCGGTGAGCACCTTGTCCAGATAACAGCCGGCGGCGGCGCCGGGCAAGGCAAGGATGCCGCGCCGGAGAAATGGCTGAATCGCTTCGTTCTTGCCTTCGTGCTGATGGAGAGGCTGGGCAACGCGCTTGGCACGCTGGCATTCACGTGGGCCACCGTCGTCCTGCTCGGCGGCTACGCCAGCAAACTCACCTCCGATGGTGATTTTGCGTTCGCGACAACCTTAATTTTCTTAGAGGCCGTAAGGTATGTATGTACGTACGTATATATATACCGTTATACAGCACCTGGGTTGGTAGCAAATTAGCATTCCAAAAATATGTTTGCAGGCTGCAGCCTACAAATTTTACTCTTACATCTTTTTGGAAAGGAGGGCATCCCCGGCCTTTGCATCCGAAAGATGCATGTGGCCAAAATTTAACTCTTACATCCCTCCTGCAGTATTGTCCAAAAAAAAAAACAAGCATCGCAGTTGCGGATCTACAACCAGTCACTTTTTTCTTCATTGCCAGAAATTCAATAAAAGAAACATGCAAGAAGCTTAGCACCTAAAGAGCAAAAAGGCGGTAGAGAAAGGAAAACGTTTGGAGACGGTGCGTCGGCCGAAGCTTCGGCCGGTCACCCGCTACCCCGCGCTCCTATGTTGTGGGTCCATGCGAGATGAGCCCCGCATCGCCCCTACCCTCTGCAGCCCAATCTCGCCGGTGAGGTCGTCGTCCACCGCACGGCCAACGATTTCCCCATCCGCAACTTAGGCAATTCTCCTAGTGCACAATCTCCAGCTCCAGTAGTTTTCCCAGCTCCGGTGGACGAGTTGCATAACTGCGGCGGCGAGGCACACCCAAGGCACGAGAAGCTGCGACGACGGGGTGCACTTGACATGGGGATGGTATGGGAGGGGACATCACCGGAGCTGCGAGCTACAACCAGCTCCCCAACTGGCGTTGTGTTTTGCTACATGCGACCGTGAAGATGGATCCCGCAGAAGAAAAAAGCTACAACCGGGAAACCAAAAAGCTACAACGCAATGACCATTTTACTACAAGCGGCGAAGGTGAAGTTGTGGACGGACGGCGACAGTGAGCGTCGGGGCTGCGACGACGAGCAGTGGGGCGTGGAAGCTAGAACCTCATGCGCCAGAGCTGCAACTGCCCGCAAAAAAGCTACAACCAGCGGCCATTTTTTGTTGCATTAGTTCATGGTAGCTGCGACCCCAACAACGGTAGCGATGGCATTTTGTTGCAAGCATCGTCGTTTTTGCTACTACTAAAGATGTTTTTGCTACATCCATTTGCGACTTAGCTGGGACCCGCCGACGGCGATTCGACATTTTTGCTGCAACCATGTGGATTATTGCTACTACCATCAACCTTTTTTGCTACATCCGTTCTTCATGACAGCGAGACGCCCGGCGGTAGTTTCCTGTGAATCCCGGCAACGGGATCCAGTGTGGGCCAAGGATGGCACGGGCGAGATTTAGATCGTGCGGGATTTCGGTTAGGGACGAATGAAGGATCGGATCTGAATGGCTGGGAGAATAATTGAACGGACAGGGTGCGAGCGATCCAAAGTTTGGGCCGGCGCCAACGCCTATCAGCCCCCTAGAGAAAGCATAGCAATGACAGGCAGGGCTGCAATATGCAAATACCAACGACAGGGCCATAATTCCGGCTAGTCGTTGATATTCGCACATGGTCTTTAAAAAGGGCGATGTTATGCGTCGGCCGGTGGATCTTTTTAAAACATTCACTGCCACGCATGCTGTTGGATGTTATGCCATCGTGCGGGAGAGCAACATCTTTCACCATTGCAATAGAGTTGTTGTTGCAGAAATCTTTGCAATAGAGGTCTTGTTATTACAGAAATCTTTGTAACACATGTCTTGTTGCAGAAAACCTTTGCAGCAAAAATCTTGTTGCAGTTTATTTTTCAGAAGCACCATAGTTGTCTCTTCACCATTATCCATGTTGCAGAAGCACCATCATTGTTTATGCAACATTGCCCGTGTTGCAGAAGCACCATCGGTCGGCCGTGCTCCCATGGTCGCCTCGCTTCGCTTCTTCCTGCCTTCTGGTCGGATGTCGCCGTAGCAGCCGCTAAGCACTCGCTCCAGCACCGCCTATCACCGACCCTCTGCCTCGCGCAGCTCCGGTTGCCGCTCGCTGATGACAAAGAGCTTGCTTCATCGGCCCTCCACCTGATCTCCTTCCTTCTCCTCCACCGTGCCTTCCTTCTTGAGCTAGCGCCATCATCCTTTGATTTGTCGCAGCTCACGCCCCCCATGGCAGCAGGCGCCGGCTGCCTTTGGTTGTTGGATTGTGGATGGGATGAAACTAGAGATGGATAAGAACGTGGGCTGTGGATGGCTGTCACTGGCTCGCGGGGAAGAGTCTAGAAAGAAACTGTTACATCGTGGACGGCGATAAGCGAGGCATAAAATTGCAGCATCCATCAGGTGATAGGAAGCATTTCCCTTTTAAAAAGGCAGATCCGCACACATCTTTCGTAAAGATTCCAGATAACCCACACACTACAGATTTCACATATTACACACACATCACATCATTACGGATCTCACATGTTACACCGCAAAATACAACACATTTACACATATATCACAATTAAAGATCACATGGTAGCTTTACATAAATATATTATTCAAGTTTATTGAGTGTAAATGCAAGCTATTATATGAGTTAAACTGAACTAGTGGCACAAACAGTAGTTCTGCACAAACTATTGATCTCGGCGTCGATCATAAACCGAAGCCCTGCAAAAGAAAAGAAAGCACCATTGATCACAACAAAGATCGATCACATCAAACAGAAGCACAAGCGTACAAATTGAAGAGGCATGTGTGATCAAAAGAACAACAACAAAATCTTTACATTTTTCTGTTGCTAATCTTTGAAAAAGAAAAGGCACTGCTGCAAAATTACAGTAGTTAATATGCTGTTGGGTTTTGCAAACCATAGGGAGGAGAAGAATTAATTAGTGACTTTGATATATCATGGTAAATAACAAACATTGTTAGTAACACTAGATATCCCCTTGCCAAAAAAAAAGTAACACTAGCTATCAACCTGTGTGGATCCATGGGCTACACTTAGGTATATCATTTGCTAGAAATGTGGCCGTTTTACAATGTCTAGGACTCTAGCTAGGTACCATTCTGTCCACTCCAGTATTATATCGTGAAGACATCTGTACAAATGAGAGTGGCTTTTTTACTCCTGGGTGTACTCAAATCCCTTATGAAGGCGTAATTTCGAAAAATACTGAAATTTTGTGACATCAAATATGCTCAAACATTTTAGCTGCTTGCAAACTTTTGAGCACCGATTTTGTGGAGTCTTAGAACGAGAAGAGGACAAATGACAAATCCATTGCGGACAACACATAAATAACATTCAATAAAGCAAAGTCATTACGAACCATCCTGTGCACAAGCACACAGGCCTCAGCCCATGGCCTAACGGGATTACTCACACATTGCAACCAAATCACAGATGGAAAACATTGTAGATGGCATTGATGAAAGATGAGTGACTGTAGAGTCTTACAATGTCCCCGCATGCGATGGATCGATTACAAGTATGGCAAACTATCGGGAGGATGCCTATGAGGATGGAGATGGCAGTGACTAAGGTTTTGGGTGGTCGTGATGATAATGGCGATCTTTCTCCTCTGTGGAGGTTGTTTCGGGCCTCTCTATTACGAATGAGCCTCGAGGCTTTTATGAAGTGTGTCAGGGCTAACGTCACGAAGCCGGCGGCACCTGGTACAAGCGTTCACGCTCGTACCAGACGTCATCTCTGCTCTGGTTAGCCTGTGGTGCCTCCCTTTGATATGACTTGATCTCCTCACATCATATTTCCATATTTATCTCCATTTTGGTCTTTTTCCCGCAGAAACAAAAAAAACAAAGGGAACTACAATCTTTTGCATTTATTAGTCATTAGTGATAAGATCTAAGTGATTTTCTCGGAATATCCATTATCCGGTTCAAACAATGGAGGAATTAGTGTAAAAAATACACTCATAATTATACACTGTCGACATGTCATCAAGAATTATCATTAGCAGTCACTCTTACCATGGGTTGGCTATAAGATTAGCCATATTTTCCATCTTCTTTCTTTCACTTTCACTGCATTTACTCTATTTGCTTTGGAGCACGTGTGAAGGTGGTTCAGTTACTTTTTTTCCATCTCTCCTTCACATAGGCAAACCCAAACCCACACCCCTTTAAACATCTCTTAGGTTTGTGATTTGTATTATGTTCTTCTTATTTAAGCATACCATATACATATTTCAGGATGTTCACCCGTGACAACAATAGACTAGATTATCAACTGTTCTTCAATACTAGAGGAGCTTTTAGGCCTCTTGGCTGGAGTGGACTGATTGTGATTGCATGTTTTTCTGGCATTCTGGAATTCCTCTCAAAGTTCCTCTGGAAGGACTTGATGATGGTCGATGTGCTCTTATTGGCAGCGGCACTACTACTACTTGCACTTGGCCGGTTAATAACTGTTTTGTTTCAAAGAGCTCTGAAACGACTCATATACAATTGGATGCGTCGTGCCGCATCATTGTGGACTCTATGGAGTCCATTAGTTGCAATCGTATTGCTAGCTCCCTCTATGTCAAAAGACCGGTCCATGATTCAATGGGGAGTGTTCGCAGTACTACTTGTGGCAGTGGTCATAGCAACAATAAGCAATCTGCGCTACAAAAGAATCAGCAAACTAGTAGACAATGTTCTAGGCAGCAAACAAGAATTTTGGCGCAAGGTTACTATAAACCTGTGCATGATTGCTGCTCTAGGGATGCTGATGTACATGCTTGATGAAAATGAGAGATCTATGATGATCACATTCGAGGTATGTGCCCTATTGATAGTGTCATTTGGCAACTTACAGATTCCAGCAGCAGTTGTGCGGGTCATGCTAGCATTAAATGAGCTTAGCCAGCCTGCTGCATATGATGAAAGCAAGGATGGCCAAAAAAACATTAAAGCCTCTTTAAGAATCTTCTATGGGATGGTGCTTGGACAAGGAATACTCTATGCCGTGGCCTGCATGTTTGAGTTCTTTTCTTTCATCCCTCGAAGATCCCTCATCCGCGGTGGTGGATTTAAAGGTCAGTGGGGAATGAAATCTGTCAATATGTATTACGCATTTGCGTCAGAGAAATGCATGCAAGGGGGTGTGCTTGCTCCAAAGAAGATCAACCTCAGCACCTTTGCCATGGGTTCTGTGAACTCGGATTCATCCAAGAATCAGCTCGCCGGGATACGAATGATGCACAACTTTATGCAAAGTCAACCAACCAAGGCACAACTCCTTTCAAAACTCGCCACTTCTACCAAGACGATGGCCAGAATAATCAGAATGTTGGATTGGACAAGTCCAAAGGATACAGCTATCAGATTATATGCCGCAAAGGTCACTGCAGAGCTTGCAAAGAACCTCCGTGCAGGCACTATCCCTGGTACAATGCAGCTTGTATCTGCACTTCTTGACGCTGATTGCAGACTGGAAAGAGGAAACCCACTCCTAGACACTGATGATGAACACGAACGAAGACAAGATCCAGTTCTGAATACAGAAGATAGCAGAGAGGTGGCTGATAACCAATTCCAAACACAAGCTCAACTTCGGGACACTGATATCTTGCTGGAAACAGAAAGCAGATCAACCCAAGAAGTTGGCATGAACAAACAGAACTCGTGCGTGCTCAGATGCTGGCAGCATATTTCAGAATTCTGGTCAATACCCAAGGAACAGCTGCAGACAGACCACGATCTTCTACCTGCAATAGCGATGTCAATTATTGAAAGTCTTGCTGGTGTTGACCAGGACAACTGTGTGGAGATCAGCAAAGCAGCTGACCTCATCCCGAAGATCATAAGATTCACAATCTGCAGAAGTGACACGATGAATACCAAGGCACAACAAGAGATCCTGCTCAAATCATCACTGAAGGTGCTGCAAAGGCTCACAAGCATTGGCGGGGAAATCGGCATCACACTGCGGTACAAGATAACAGAACACCCCTTTCTATTGAGTAACTTCTCAGACATCCTTGGAGATGGCAAGAGCAACCAGATATCGAGAAAGTTGGTGGCAGGAATCCTCAGAAATATTGCCGTTGATGAGAAAACAAGGCAGGACATTGGTCGCTTCCAAATGATCATCACCAAGCTGATGCAGGCATTTTTCAACTCAGAAGTAACTATGAGTACCAATGCCGATCACCTGTCACGGAAGGTCGCCGGGCAAGCACTGGCAATGCTGACAATACAAAGCGTCCAAAACTGCTTGGTTATATCGAAGGAGCCAGGGATCATGAAGGAACTCAAAATCTTGATCCATGATAGAAGGTACATATATGTGGGGGCAAGCCTGCTGCGTAATCTGTGCCTGCACGCTCGATCCGAGCTCACAGAGTCAGACCTGAAGGAGCTATCTCATACGTTGAGAGAGGTGAGCCCTGCTAATTCGAGCAACAAGTACACTATTAGAGATGCATAATAAAATTTACCATGTTTTGTATGTTCTTGTGCGCAAGGTTTCAGTAAAATTTTGATCTTTATTTTTGCTCACTCATTTGCCACTGGACTATAGATAGAGATATACATCAGTTTTTAACTGATAATGATACATGTCATTACAGGTGTTGGAAAGAATACTGGACGTGGATGGGGCAGAACTAGAGATCCTGATTGGGCTTAGTTCACAGATATGTAAAGTTATTCCTGAAGACTTTACCCGAGAACTAGATGATGGTCAGATTAAGCCGAGATTTGCGAAGAGGCTTGTTGACACACTAAAAGCAAACATGAAACCTAGTGCTCATTGTCCTGGGATCAGGAGAGTGGTACTCGAGCAAGTCATACACTTGATGGAGTATAATTCTCGCTATGCAGATTGCTTCAACGCGTTCGGGATGACAGATGCACTGTCAATGGTAGAACAAACACCGTCAAAGGCTGAAAACTACAGGCTCTTCTTGGGAGATGCAGGATTCATGGAGTATGACACGCTTCTCTCCGATCTTGTGGCCAGGGCAAAAGAACTTATGGGCTGTGACTGACTACGAGGCACTAATAGGTGGTAGTAGGACTTCTACTTTGCCTTTCTACAATGAATGAAGAATTGTTGCAGTGAGAATAAAGGATAGAGCGCTTTTACGGTGATTGGGGAGTTACGAATTGTAATTTCGTGTAACCCCCCCACCGATTTTTTTCCACCGTTGATTTTAACCTGTTAATTAAAAAAGTTGAGTTTAGTCAATAAGGGTATTATGGTCATGTGTGTTTTTTTTAGTACTTCGCTGGTCAAACCCCCGCATCTGGCTAACCCATCTCGCGAGAGGGGGAGCCGGCGCGAGGACCTGGGAGACGGCGGCGCAGGAGTGAGGACCTTGGCCATGACGTCGGCGCGAGGACCTGCAGGCGAAGACGCCGATGCGAGGTCCAGGAGGCGAAGCCCAGGCTGGTCTGGGTCGTAGTGGCCGCTTGCCCACGTATGTCCCCACCGCCGCCGCCGTGAGGTTCTGGAGGGGACGACGCCGGCGCGAGGTCTTGGAGGTCCCGGCTGCGCTTGGTCGTAATGATGTACGAACAGAGGTATATCTTCCCCTGCCCTCATCTCTTCCTCCCGTCCTTCCCTCCTCACACCTTGTGCTAGCGGTGGAGGCGTGGAGCAACTGCACATTGCAGCACCTTGAACTAAAATTCAGTTAGCAGCTAGGATTCAGATTGCTAGTGGATATGCCAGCAGTGCGTTTGCTAGATTGCGCAACTTCCGCAATCACTAATCGCGTGATTAGCGGCTGCCCGCGTCCGGCACTTGAGTTGTCCTCGATGCCTGCAATGACGCTGCTGCTGCTGACTGCAGCACGTTGCTGCTGCTGCTATGTATTTGACATGTAGCCATCATCAACACAAAACTCTCAAGGGAAGAGGGATATGATATAAATTTTTTAAGCAGAGAACATCATTTGGTTTGTCACACAAACCCACAAGTAGAAATTGCAGCCTTAAAGTTTCCAGAATCAATTGTTAACTGTGTATGCTTATGGTCATACTCCTGTATCATACACGTACACAAGCCCAGGCCATATATGTATAAAGTTCTGTTAACTGTCTAGCCTTTATTCAGTAATGAAATCTTGAATTTTGGATTACTTGTAGCAGCATGTTCAAACAACTCAAATCTTGCTGCAGCATACACATACAAGTTCAGGTCACACATGTAAACTATGACTTGGAACAACTTAACTAATGCTAATAACAGTCTCGTACTTCAGTTGCATGTGTTTGTTTTGAAGTTCAGAACAGACACAGATTCAGAGTTCACAAATGTCTCACAACTTGTAGCATTCCCCAGTGGCAGTTGCTGCTTATAAACTACAGAGAACACTGATAATAAATCCCACTAAGCATATCAAAATTCAGATATACGATAAACTACAGAGATTCTGCAATTTCTGAAGAGTTGTTAAATATTACTGCTATGATAACGTTCTCAGACTATTCATAATCCTTGATTGTTATTAGAGTTCGTGTATTCCCTACGACAGCAAAAACGGCGTCAATTAAGGCAGCCACCGATTCGAACAGTGAGCATCAGGTACTCTATTTCAGCAGTCTGTTTTATCAGATGTAGTTTAAACTCGTTGTGATTAGTCTAGCAGATCCTTTTTCCGTGGAGTCTACCAGATTTAGTATTGACCTTTTGTTCTATCTCTGTATACATGGCAGTAGTCATCAGGAAATTTTAGACAATTGTACAACCCGGCAGAGGAAAGGATTCCATAATACTGATTTTATCATTTCCTTTGCACCCGCTCTTATTCGACCATGCTTTCCTGCACATCACATATAAAATTAAGTGTACTTAGGATTGATTTAGTGCAGTTGCAATAATTCTGCACCTGGTATATCATGCAGTAGCCAGCTCTATTTTTCTTTCTATTCAATGCAATTGATGATTTAGTTTAGTTCGTCATTAGGGCACTATAATCAATGTTTAGTAGCAATAAAATTTAGTGATTGTCCCATGTATACTTGATTTTGTGGCTGCAGGTTTATTGTCTGTCTTGGGTGGTCATTGTAGCAGTAGTGTTTGTACTGGACAACCTTCAGCCACCGTTGTTTACTTCCAACTCGCCGGCCAGCAACCAAGGTCTATCTCCTGTCTCGTTGGATCGCTGGATAGCCGCTGTCGTCTACCTCGCGCCTCGCCGGACAGCACGGTCATCAAACTCTTTCTCACCGGGCAGCCACCGCCGTCTACCTCTGCCTCATAGTCAATTGTGTGCTAGCAATTCCTCCGGAGAACTTGTTAGGTTATTCTAACTCTACCATGTATCCATGATCTTGTTTTCTGAATATGTAATCTTTTTAGTGATTTTCATTTTCATTTTATTTTTCATGGCGCTTCCATGATTTATTTCATTTTCTGGTATATATTTTCGAAGATTTTTATTTGCTTTTCCCTAATGGCCATGGTGTGAGAGCAGACTACTAGCAGGTAGGGCGTTGCACTGAAGAAGCTTATGCCAAAAAGAACTAAAACTAGACGCAAATTAAAAATCAGGAGCATTTTCGGTAAAAAATTGTTGGAAAAAAAATAAGTTCCCATAGAAGTTCTCAAAAATTCACACTACCCTCTATTCAATCTGGGAAACTTTTTAGAAGTTTTGGCGAATAAAAAAAGACAGAAGCAAAATTCAAATTCAGGACCATTTTGGCTCAAAATTTGCCCAGAAAACAAGATTTCAGATTTGAAGAAGTTTTCTCGAACATGAAAAAAACTAAAAGCAAAATTCAAATCCAGGAGCATTCTTTGGCTCAAATGCAAAAAAAGTCAGAAAAATAAAAGTTCCAAAATAATTCCACGGGTACCAATTTAGGAGATGTTAGTTAAACTTCACTATAGATCTTAGCATTGTAACAACATGTTCCATGCAAAAAATAACCAATGATGTTGATCAGGTTCAGGTGCATGTTAGCTCCATGCTGCTTGTGAGTCTGGATGGGTCGTAACGGTACTTGTGGACCAAGACGACTTGTACCCATTATGGTATTTGTGGATCCACACGTCCTAAAGTGGTAGTGGTCGGTCCGTATGCCCCCAGTGGTAGTTGTTGGTAGTATATGTAAGGGTAGCCGAGAGTCTGTATGACCCATAGTGGTAGTACTGGTTCTGACGCCCCATGGTGCTAGTTGTGGATCCAGATTCCCCATATTAGTAGTCATGGGTTTCGACGAGCCATAGTTCTAGTAGTAGTATCGGATGACTCATGGTGCTAATTGTGGGTCAGTATGGCCCATTTGTGCTAGTCGTGGTCTGGATGACCAGTAGCGGTAGTTGTTAGTCCGGATGACCCATGGTGCTAGCCGTTGTTCGGACGACTCATAGTGGTAGTTGTGTGTCAGGACTACCTCTAGTTTAGTAGAAGAAACACACGACCCATAGTGATAGTTGTGTATCAGGACGGTCTTTAATGGTAGTTGCTGGTTTAGATTACCACACACGACCCGTAGTGATAGTTGTGTATCAGGACGGTCTTTAATGGTAGTTGCTGGTTCAGATTACCCATACTGGTAGTTTTGGGTTCAAATGAACCATGGTGCTAGTAGTCGCATTACACGGCCCATATGATAATTATGGGATTGGACAACACATAGTGCTAGTTGTGGGATCAGACGAACCTAGTGCTAGTTATGGGACCGGACAACCAATCATGATGCTTATAGATCAAGATCACAAATAGTGCCAAGTTCTGGGTTCAGGTGACCCATAGTGCTAGTTGGGGGCCAAACGACTATAGTGTTAGTTGTGAGTCCAAATGACCCATAGTGCTAGTTATGGATTTGGACGACCCATGATATTATTAGCGTGATCGGACACTATTGATCTTATTCATTCAGGCACACTACTTTTGATATTAATTGTCCAAAATCACAAGTATTGGTCTTAGACATCGGGCCCACAAGTATTGGTCTTAGTCATTCGGGTTTACTACTGTCGGTCCTACTCGTTCGGGCTCACTACTTCAATCTTAGTTGTTCAAGACGACAAGTATCGATCTTAGTCATTCAGGTCTACAAGTATGGACCCCTGGATGTTCTGCACCCACTCGAAGTAGCTCACCATCACTCCGCCGGAGTTGGCCACGATGTCCGGTAGGATCAGCACGCCCTTCTTTGCCAGAATCTGCAGCGCGGACATGTACACTTCTCTACTGCCAGTCAATGTGTGAAATGTGTCAGCAAATGCAGCTTAGTTTTGTGCCAAAATGTTGGTGTTCTTGCCTCTTCGGCCTCGGAGTCTGTTGGCTGGTTAGCAGCCTCGATGATGTACTTTGCTTTGATGGCATCAACATTGTCCCTAGGAGAACAAGAAAATCGAAAGGACTATTTATTAACAAAAATATTTTCAGATACAGAAAAAAAGTAACAGCCAGGAGGATACTCTAACTGAGCTTCAGAGCATTAATCTGATAGAAGATAGGATGAAGTGAGCTGGGACGAGGAAGAAGAAGATTACTTGTTTATGACTCCTCCCAGAGTTGCCGGGATGAGCACGTCGCACTTCCGTGAGCAGCGAGGTCGGTCGACGGCGTCGCCTTTTGTCGGAGCCCTTGATCCCACGGTTCTCTGCCGAGTGCTTCATCAGCTTGGCTATGTCAATGCCATTAGAGTTCTTGACAGCCCCTGTGACATCTCTGATGGAGAACACCTTGCCACCAGCTTCAGTGATCAATTGGGCAGCCCAAGAGCCAACATTGCCAAATACCTGAAAAAGGCAAGAAGACAACAATTGCTCATCTGTGCAAATGTAGGTGAAGAAACATAGTTCTGGCCTTGCTCCACAATGTATGGCGCCATTCTACACAACGATGATTACTAGCATTGTGTAGGAATGCTTGTATATATTTGGCAGAATATATTACTTGTGGGTGCTCATTGTTTGCTCCTTTTCCCCTTTAATTTCAGCGCGTGAGGTGGGAGATTAGAAAGATACTGACAGATCAGGCACAGAACTTTGGAATTGCCATTGATGGTGTCTCCATTGTAAGCCTAAGCTTTGACAAGATGCTTGTCTCTAAATTATAAATGGGGAACACCTTAGCTCTGTGTGAAAATTAAAGAGATTGGCAAAATTTTCTCTGGCATTTTAAATGCGCAAAAGACCAAAGAAAAAGCAAATAATCTTAGTGAGTTCAGATAAAACAGAGAATTACCTTAAGAAGAGTTCAATTGCAATATCTTGAGATTACACCTAAAATTTAAAGCTCGATGGCCAGTCTAGTCGCAGAACAACAACCATCTTTTGGCAATTGAAACATCTGCTTACAGATTTTAAGTTTTAGGAAGCAGCCATGGATTTCACCTGGAAAAGAACATCGAAGAGAAAAAACAACGTCCTACAACTGCTCCATCGTACACTAATGTGCAGAATAAAGGGATATGTTGTATTTTCTTCCCTCCGTCTAAACAATTTCTGAAAACTGTCACTTTCCTAAACCAGAAGGGTTGCAGTAGCAAATTTCTACTTAGTGAGCAAGTGTAGATAATTTTGGTCCTTCTGTCTTGTTTCAATCAGGTGCTTGACAAAAAACAGTGCATAAACTGATATTACACTTGGGATACCAGACTAGTATTACTTCACTTTCCCCTCAATCAAATCATGATATTTGTGGACATAGCTTACTATTTGTGAAACATAAGAAAACAGGGACATTCAGGAATGAAAAGGTGGTCTTGGCATCAACAAGTATAAGTAGCTTTTACTTAACATCGACTCAAAGATCAACTCCAACAGTGAGGTTCAGATCTACTTCAGTACATAAAAAAGTTTTAGATGTAGTTCATTATCTAAAAATATTCATATGTTATTAAACAACAACATTCAGATCAAGATTGATAGTGACCAAATCAGAATCTTGCATACCAGGTTGAGGTCGGTTTCATCTTCAAAATCTTCAAGCATGTGAGAGATGTCGTTCGCGGCATCCTTAAGTTGCTTCAGCCACAGAAGCATGGACCTATGCTTGATAGACTCCCTCTCAGCGTCGCGGAGCACAGCGTCCACCGACTCCAGCGTCATCTTCATGTTCTCCAGATCGTTCCTCATATTCCTGTGCAGCTTGATCTCGCCTAAAATGGTAGAATTCAAGTGTTCTATTGCCACCTTGATGACTGCCGAGGCGAGCATGCCCCTGAGTGCCTGTTGACATGGCTAGTGCTTGTCGAGTTGGGCTGTGTGCTGAATAGTAGATTCGTCATTGAAGCTCCGGCCCTTATCAATCTAACAAAGCATTGGAAGCAAAAAAAAAAAAAATCGAATCAGCAACTGCAGAATCAGTCACGACCTGTTTTACATAATACAGATATCACAGACTTGCAAAATCTTAGACAAAAGGGAGTTGCCCACCTACTCCATTAAGCATAACGAAGCAACATTCAGAATTTAGTTACATGGCCACTGTGGAATGCTCATGTGCTTCGTCAGATACTTTTACATTTTCCAACTACTAACCAGAACTGAAGAGCAATGGAAGCCGTGAACTTCAAGGAATAAGGTAGAGTAAGACTGTAAGAGATATGGACCTGTAGACGGTGCTGCGCCGGGCTCTCCACAGATCCGGCCTGGACTACGCCAGCGGCAGCGTGATCCGGCAAGGTCAAGTGCCTCTTGGACGCCCATCGGTCCACCATCGCGCGCTGCACGACGAGGCGGCGACCTCCTCGACCTTCATGGGGCCACCGGTGCCCTTTCTCTCCGCCTTTTTCGTGACGCCACGGCTGAACCGGCGCAGGGTGCTCTTCCTCTTCCTCTCGACGGCTACACCGCCGTGCGCTCGATCTAGCTCTTGACGGCGAGGAACCACGGCTGCATCAGACGTTGGTCCTCGAGCCCCTGGGACCCCTCCGCCGCCGCCGCCGGGGTCATCGGCTCCGCCTCCTCGCCCCATCGGCCATCATCGCCGACCCCCTCTGCGCTGCCACAGCCACCGCCGGGGTCATCGGCTCCGCCTCCTCGCCCCAGAGGCCATCCTCGCCGACCCCCTCTGCGCTGCCACAGCCACCGCCGGGGTCACCGGCGGCTCCGCCCTATCCTCCCCTGCTGCTTCGAACAGATAGGGCTCGAACATGTTTTCTACGGGAAGAGTGGAGGAACGACCCAGATTTTTTTTTTTTAGAATCAGGAGCGACCCAGATGTGTCCTGTGTGGCCTTGACTAAATTGGACAGAACTACCCTTTTAGAAAATGACTAGCCCCACCCTAGTTTTGTAATGGTCCCACCACTATTTGTAATTTTAGTCTTGTAACTCCTTGTAACTCTAGTTTCTCTACCGTTTGATCGCAGTGGATGAACGGCCCGTAAAATCGCCAATCACCGTAACAGTTGTAGGATAATCATATTGTCTATCACTAATAGTTTAAAAAAAATTCTATTTGTCTTCAAATGTACGCGAAACAATGTTGTGGATGATTTAGGTGATTAGAACTCCAACTGGTTTTAGGAAATCGCTGTTTGGCATAAATTTTTCACATAAATTCTCATAAGGTCGGTAGTGATACAAAACAACAAACGTTTGCGCTCAAGACAATGGTCATATTTTAAAAGAAAGTAAACTGGTCATCACAGTTGAAGAGAAGAAGATGTCATCATGTTTCAGTACAGATACCACATGGCGTCTTCCTACTGATAGGTTTGCTCCGCATGGACAGGCATGGGTATGTTGCAAGAAAGTCTAGTGCAAAATCTTCGTAAGAACCCAAGACCGGTCTCAGATGACTTGTATTTACTTTTCTGTGGTCAGACCTTCCATTAGCAGCTGTCACAGATCAAATGAGTCATTTATATTTTCTTCACACTCCTAGTTGTGTGCCACTGTAATTTCATCGACAGATGTTGGAAAGGGTGGGTGAGGACTGAGGGCGCAGGGGATAGAACTAGATGACTTCATTAGATCCCGTCCATGAAGATCTAACATCATTTCTGAATAGTCTGACCAGGCTCTGAGGCAAGATACGATGTGTGGAGAAGCTGATCGATGCACTGAATGCAGTTACCAAACAAGATGTCCAGATGACAGGGCAGATGACTGACCACAAGATGTCCGTTATGCAGTTGAATCCTCACTGTAAACTATTCGGTGATTGCCAGATGACAGGAGCACGCCAAAGGTAGACACAATGGCAAGCTTACGGGGTTTCCATAATTCCATGAGCAAGCAGGGATCAAGGAATACTGTAGCATTTACCTCTCTCTCGGGAGCAGCAGAAATTGCAGAACATCTACAGTTGATGGCTGGCAATTCAACTTGAAATCATAAAGCATGATCCTCCAGCTCCTCCTCCTCCATCACCGCTCGACCTTGCCGTCTCCTCGCCAACAGCAGTCCGGTGGCGGAGCTCATGGCGCGGGTGGCGGCGCAGCCCACCGCCCACGGAGGCCACAGACGACGCATCCCCCCTCTGGCCCCACACGCCGTGGCAGGAGCACTGCAGTGACGGCTAGCACCACGCGAGCAAGGCGGTGGCTCGGATGCCGTGCAGCGCAGTGCGCTTGGTACGGCGACGGCGACCTCCGGTGCGTCTTCCCGCCGCGGCGGCAGAGCGGCGGGGGATACGGTGCGGCAGCGAATGGGCGGGCGGGTACGGCCGCGGGCTGGGTTCGCCACATGGCCCGTGGGCTTCTTTTGTTGTTCTCTCAAGGAAACAACGAGGATGGTCTGTTGTGTCTCAAAAAAAAAAAATTGGATGGTCTGTTCACACAAAAAAAAGACGCCAATAAAGAGGAAACGTAGAAATCACACAGGTCAGAGGATATCCCTTGCAAAGTACCCTCCTACTTCCTCTTATCTCTTGTTTCCATGTATGACATGTGTCACAATATGAGAGTTTTGTGTTTTTTTCAAAACATTTTATCTGTTTCAACCGTGTGTCCAAATCACGAACCATTTTCACTATTGCATTTCTCACATTGAGATTTTTAAAACTAAATCACATGCTAATATGTTTGAACGAACACTTTTCCCAAAGAACCAGAAAAAATTTGATAATCAGGAAACAAAAAAACATAAAAGGAAAAAAAAGAAAAAAAAGAAAGAAACCAGAAACAGATATGTGATTTTCAAATATTTTTTGGAAAACATATGTGTGCTTTCTCACTTTTTGAAAAACACAACTCTGTGTTTCACTTTTCTTGAAGCACAGTTGTGCACATGGAAGCACAATTGTGCTTCATGCAGAAGCACATATGTGATTTTCACTTTTGGGGAAGAACTGTTGGGGAACATAGTATTTCAAAAAAAATTCCTACGATCACGCAAAATCTATCTAGAAGAAGCATAGCAACGAGCGGGGAGAGTGTGTCCACGTACTCTCGTAGACCGAAAGCAGAAGCGTTAAGTAACGCGGTTGATGTAGTCGAACGTCTTCGCGATCCAACCGATCAAGTACCGAACGCATAGCACCTCCGCGATCTGCACACGTTCAGCTCGGTGACGTCCCTCGAACTCTTGATCCAGTTAAAGCCGAGGGAGAGTTTCGTCAGCACGACGGCGTGGTGACGGTGATGATGAAGTTACTGGCGCGGGGCTTTGCCTAAGCACTACGACGATATGACCGAGGTGTGTAACTGTGAAGGGGGGGGGGGGCGCACACGGCTAAGACCAATCTTGAGTGCCTTTGGGGTGCTCCCCTCCCCCGTATATAAAGGAGGGAGGGAGGAGGCGGCCAGACTAGGGGCGCGCCAAGCATAGGGAGTCCTACTAGGACTCCCAAGTCCTAGTAGGATTCTCTTTCCTATTCGGAGTAGGAGAGAAGGAAAGAGAGGGAGAGGGAGAAGGAAAGGGGGGTCGCGCCCCCACACCTTGTCCAATTCGGTTTGGGCAGGGGGGAGGCGCGCGCCACCTCTTGGCCCTTCTCCCCTCTCTCCACTAAAGCCCAATAAGGCCCATTACTTCTCCCGGCGAATTCTCGTAACTCCCCGATACTCCAAAAATACCCGAATCACTCGGAACCTTCCGATGTCCGAATATAGCCTTCCAATATATGAATCTTTACCTCTCGACCATTTAGAGACTCCTCGTCACGTCCGTGATCTCATCCGGGACTTCGAACAACCTTTGTTCTGTTGGGATTCGTAGTAATTTCAAAAAATTTCCTACGCGCACACAGGATCATGTGATGCATAGCAACGAGAGGAGAGTGTTGTCTACGTACCCAACGCAGACCGACTGCGGAAGCGATGACACGACGTAGAGGAAGTAGTCGTACGTCTTCACGATCCAACCGATCAAGTACCGAAACTACGGCACCTCCGAGTTCGAGCACACGTTCAGCTCGATGACGATCCCCGGACTCCGATCCAGCAAAGTGTCGGGGAAGAGTTTCGTCAGCACGACGGCGTGGTGACGATCTTGATGAACTACAGCAGCAGGGCTTCGCCTAAACTCCGCTACAGTATTATCGAGGAATATGGTGGCAGGGGGCACCGCACACGGCTAAGGAATCGATCACGTGGATCAACTTGTGTCAACTTGTGTGTCCATGGGGTGCCCCTTGCCTCAGTATATAAAGGATGGAGGAGGAGGAGGCCGGCCAAGGCAGAGGTGCGGCCAGGGTGGGGAGTCCTACTAGGACTCCAAGTCCTAGTAGGAGTCCACCAAGAGGGGAGGAAGGGAGAAGGAATAGGAGGAGAAGGAGAGGTGGCCGGCCCCCTTTTCCCTAGTCCAATTCGGACTAGAGGGGAGGGGGGGCACAGCCTTTTTCTCCTCTTCCCACTAAAGCCCATCAAGGCCCAATACTCTTCCCCGTATTCCCGTAACTCCCCGGTACTCCCAAAAATACCCGAATCACTCGGAACCTTTCCGAACTCCGAATATAGTCGTCCAATATATCGATCTTTACGTCTCGACCATTTCGAGACTCCTCGTCATGTCCCCGATCTCATCCGGGACTCCGAACTCCTTCGGTACATCAAAATGCATAAACTCATAATATAACTGTCATCGTAACCTTAAGCGTGCGGACCCTACGGGTTCGAGAACAATGTAGACATGACCGAGACACGTCTCTGGTCAATAACCAATAGCGGGACCTGGATGCCCATATTGGCTCCTACATATTCTACGAAGATCTTTATCGGTCAGACCGCATAACAACATACGTTGTTCCCTTTGTCATCGGTATGTTACTTG